CGAAGCGTTCCTCCTCGATCAAACTCGATTATATTTATATATCGGTAAACTGATCGATGATACAGTAGATATAAAATGTCGAAGAAACGTCGATGCGCTTTTGAATAACTTTTCATTCCATCACCGAATAAAAATTTTTTCCTTGCCCAACGCTTATTGTTAAAAAGAGAGAGAGAGAGAGAGAGAGAGAGAGAGAGAGAGAGAAAGAGAAAGAAAGAGGGAGAAAGAGAGAAGGAAAGAAAGAGAGAGAGAGAAAAAGAGATAGATATATATATATATAGATTATAGATAAAAGGATAAGGTAAAGAGAGATGAAATATGATAGAAAAATTAGAAATATGGAAAGAAAAAAAAGAAAGAAGGCCGTGCTTCTCGGGTTTATTTCTAAAACACGGAAAACCGGTCGTGGATATTACGTACGTTTTATGCAACGCCGCCTCCAGCGACAGTGGCGATTCACCGACTACAATTACGTCACTGAGACAACGAGAGACGCGAGATTGCTCGCATCCGATACTGAATTCTCGCGAGTGGTCCAGGGAGAGACTTTCTTCTCTTATCCGCAAAATTGAGAAGGATCAAATTTGTCTCTTATCTTTTTGTTCCTTAAAGAAATAAATTCTCTCTCTCTTTCTCTCTCTCTCTCTCTCTCTTTCTCTCTCTCTATCTTTATCTCTCTATCTATCTCATTCACTCCTTGGTAGTTCGACGTACATACGTTGGCAATCTTTTACAAAAGATTTCACTGACACGGTTGATCGCTGAATCCTTTAACGAATGACGACGATCGAATGGAATCGATTCGTGACATCGTTGTTAGAAAGTCGACATAAAGATATTCTGGCGCGAATTTTTCCAAGGGACAAGGGCAACGTTCGAAAAACATCGAGAGATTGGAATGCGATTCCGCGGGTGCAGTCCGTATTAATCGCAACGCTCACCAACCGCCTCGATATACACGAGAAGACTGGAGTCTCTCTCTCTTGGTAGGTGAGGCCTCCTCTCTCTTTCTCTTTCTTTCTCTCTCTCTCTCTCTCTCTCTCTCTCTCTCTCTCTCTCTCTCTCTCTCTCTCTCTTGCAACCGGGTGCAGTGCTGTACCATGCAACGCTCATGCCCCTCCTTTCAAGGTAAGCGACATTCCGTACTCGTTGAGTGCACCGTAAGTGCTCGTAATTCCCACCGAATGACACTTCCCGCTTATCCTTGTCATTTTTTCACCCCTTAGAAATAAAATGACCTACTCGTTTTTTCTACTCTCTCTTTTATATCTACTTATCATACTAAAAACTTAACGAATAATGACAAATGTATTTTACATTAAAATCAATTGATCAATATTTCGTAAGGAGAGAAAATTGAGATTAATAAACTCCCCATAAAAAAAAAAAAAAAAAAAGAAAAAATCGAAAAAAAATCGAAAAAAAATGAAAGAGAAATACAAAATTCAAATAATATCGTCCATCTACAATTTCGTACAATTGAAAATATCGATATTATCTCGTACATTAAATCATTAAATTCCGTGAACGTTAAAAGTCAAGAGAGAGAAAAAAAGAGATAAAAGAAATGAAAGAAAGAGAAAAAAAAAGAACGTTAATTAAGAATAAAAATACTCATAAAAATTATCGTGTAATAATGAATCGTGGCACGTTATTATCACGAGAATTTCGTCGACATGAACGAAACAAATTCGTGAATTCCATTATATTACTGATTACATGTCTAAAGGAATAAGTATGTATAAAAAGATACGGCACTGTACGGTATCACGTCCCTCTCTTTCACCGTGTTGTATCATTCGCTCTTGCTCGTTCTCACCAACGTTAACCCTAACAGACACATAAATACACGCGCGAGCGCTCTCTCTCTCTCTCTCACGACTGCAGGCACGTACACAATACACACAATACATACAACACACAACACACACACAAACACAAATACACGACACACACACACACACACACACACACATATATATATATATACATACACACGTGCATTCACTATGAATGTACAAACGTTGCGAGGAGCATGCGCACAAACGAGTACATATACACGTGCAATCTACTTTCCTTCTTTCTCATATAGTCTCTTTCTCTGTTACCCCAATGTCAAGGGATGATATACATGAAAGAGAAAGAGAGAGATAAAGAGAAAGAGAGATAAAGTGAGAGAGAGAGAGAGAGAGAGAGAACATTATCTATCTTTTTCTAGCAAATCTAACCCCTCTCTTTCCCGCACCCTTACTACTCTCCTACAATCGCTTCTTTGGCGCTATACCGTGAGGGGTAGGAGGGAGACACTGTACTCGGTTCAGTTCGTAAATCCTTGACAGAATAGAAAGAGAGATAGAGACAGAGATAAAGATAGAGATAGAGATAGATAGAGATAGAGAGAGAGAGAGAGAGAGAGAGAGAGAGAGAGAGAGAGAAAGAGATAATGAAATGGGGCGAGGAACGTATGAAAGTAAGAAGAAAAAGGACTAAGAAGAAAGATATAAATGAAGAAACGAAAAGGAGAGAGAGAGAGAGAGAGAGAGAACATTTGCACATAACCACGCCCCATATGTTCGGCAAGAAATTTTTATATTTGAAATACACCATAGGAATTTCGAGAAAAAAAGATAAAGGGAATTTTTTTTCTTCTTTTTTTTTTCTTTTTTTTTTTTTTTCTAGAAATGTTTAAAAGCTCGTAACATGATTCCAATGCTATGTTTCGTAATGATGAAAATGGTCATGTAAAACGTGATTGCTTAAGAAATAGAAATTTTCTTCTTTGATTATAAAAGCGAAGAAATTGAAAGACGCCATAAAACCACGCGTAAGTTCGAAAGGATGCTCGAAGAAAATACCAAGTGTCAAAATGCAAATAGTATACGAAGTTTTCTTTGATAACTGAGCGTGTATATACAGCATTTGAATGTAGGCTTCTTATTCTTATTCTTATTCTTATTCTTCTTCTTCTTTTTCTTATACACATTTTATATCGTCCATGCATTATCCCTACGTAAGTATCTACATATGTATGTATATATATATATATATATATATATATATATATATGAATGCATGTATGCATATGTATGTATGTATATGAATGTGTGTCGCATTTGCATCTGTGCGTGCGTTAAGTATATGCTTGAGTATAAGTTATACATGTATATATATATATATATATATATGTATGTATGTGCGTGCGCGTGTGTGTGTGTGTGTATATTTTATTCAAACGAACAAATTCCAAGGTTTATTGCCGCGAAAGAAGAAAAAGCGAACGTATCTACAAAGAGACCCGTGGATACGAATATACGTATCTACCTACGTATATAGACGTATGTTTTTCTTTTGTGAAACGTTTCTCTCTTCTGACTTTTTCAGGATATACTTATAGAGAAGAGATGGAGTGTTGTTTATGCAACCGTAACGTTAATGCGCGACTATTTTTACGCTAGAAAAGTGTATTATAAATAGGACGTATATACAGGTTTCATATTATGAGGTGAAAAGCATGTAGAGGAGAAAGTCCATACGTGAAACACCTGTGTGCGAGATGGCTACGCAACGAATACAGAGTTTTAAGTTCAATGTGGAGATATAGATATCAAATGTGGGAAAAATTTAATTTTTAAATTATCGTAAATTTTCCGCTCTTTTCCCGAAGAAGAAGATGATTATGAAGAGGATGATGAAGAAAAAGAAGAAAAAGAAGAAATGAGATAAATGATGGGACAGAATGAATTATTTTCTTTTCCTCTTCCTTTTTTCTTTCTTTTTCTTTTCTTTTTCTTCGTTTTTTGCTTTTAGTATCGAATATTATCTAACTTAATCTTACTTTTGCCACCGACGCTACTGACATGCTCCATGTAAGAACAAGGTTATACGATTAATGAGAATTTCCGTGGTTCGAGGGACATGAAGAGAGGAGAAAAGAGAGAGAGGGGGGGGGGGGAGGGGAGAGAGAGAGAGAGAGAGAGAGAGAGAGAGAGAGAAAAACTGTGACCGTAACCCTGGTAGAGACGATTTATGGCTGCGTTCTTCTGATGTATGTGTGTATGTGTGTGTATGTGTGTGTATGTGTGTGTGTGTAACGTACTCGGTGTCCCAAAAAAAAAAAGCGGAACACATTCGAACACGTCTGTTATGATGGAAACTTAAACGTTACCGTGAGAACCTTAAATCATAAAAAATGTCATACGTCCATCGATATCATCGCAATATTTTAGATAAGAAATCGAAAATTTATTAAATTTCTAAGTGAGTAATCGTTAACGAAAGAATAAATCATACTGCATTTGGAAATGTTATCTATCGTTTGTCATATTGCCGTTTAATAAATTTATTAAATTTATAAAATAATAAAACTCTGTGTACACATACATACACATATAATATATATATATATATATATATATATATATATATATATATATCATTCGTAAGCCCACCCGGTATATACACGAAGTCGTAGATATACGCACCACGATCGATTTCTATCTCGGCATTTCCTTGGCGTAAAACGAATTCGTTATATGATATTGAAAACAAAAAGAAATATTGCATTGGAGTAATGCCATATAGCATGGGATATAAGAAAAGCATCGCTTGTCGCAGCAAATAAATTTGACAATGAGATTGATGGATAAATCGTGATATATCTTTAAGACATAGGGTTAGAAATTCTTTCATATCCTTCTTCTCGTAATAATAAGTTATCATTATCTATTATATTAATTTTACTGATTAAAAATATATTCCATATATTCCATATATTTTATCAATTATTTCAATATCAATTGTATTTAAATGACTTTAAGATTATTTCGATAAGATAATTTGATTATAATTCATAAAATTATATTTATGTGAAAATATTTTCATTACATTTTTAAATCTATTATTTAGGATGACGAATCTCTCAATGGTAGTCGTTGCTATGTTTAACGCTTATTGCTAGTATTTTAAAGAGAATGTTTACAGATATATAAATGAAAATTTACCTGGAACAGGGCAGGTACATGGATCCATCGATAAACACAGAACCTGAGAGCAGTATGTACCAGCTGGTTGCCAATTCACCGGTGCTGAAATTATGCAAAAGTAATATGTCGTAACAAAACGAAGAAAAACATTTAAGACAATGGAAATATTGAATCGGCAAGAGCAACTAACTTGAGCGATGTTATTACCAAGATGAAGATTTCAAACTTTAATTACTAGATCTATTAAAAATTATTTCGAGTAGAACTTCAAAGAACGGAAGACCATCGATAGGTGGGACCATAGAGAAAGAATACAAATTGCATAACCTTCCTTTCGCTCTGATTCGCATACCGGAAGTTTCACCTCCGTTAAACCGGAAAGAGCATGAATGCTATTGCAATATTGATTATCCGCGCTAATAAGTTCGTGCTGGTAATTACAATGTCCTTCTTCAATGTACTCTTATAGTTAAATTACGCGCATTTTATAATATAACAATTATTAAACATATGATTTTTATCAATGGATTTATAATTAAAAAGGAACGAAATGTTAACGAACGATCAAAAACAATTAATCCTTTTAATCTTCGATAATGATAGTCAACGATCGTACCTCAGAGACATCTACACGTTAACGATTGAACTTTCCACTTTACCTTACTATGAGTAAACGTATTGACTTATGTCGATAAAGTAGAATAATACTGTTTAAACCAACCGTCGGTAAAATAGTTTCCATTACTGTATTTTCTGCTTTTTCTTTTACAGATAATGAAATATTCTTAAACCATTGAATATATCAGAAACTGAATAATTTACGATTTAATGGAGTAAATGTGACTGACTGAATGGGTGTGTCTAAGAAAAAGACGTATGTTACATTTTATAAATATAAAAAGGTAAAAACATCGTTAAATAAACAATTAAATAAACAATTGTTGTAACATACATCCTTCTTTCACTTTGAATAATAAGTAATAATCCAATAATGAGTAAATATTTTTTTAATGAAAAATAAACATTTTTTATATCCAATTTTGTATTTGCAGTTAATAAATTACTTTCTCGTTATTGGATTATTATTATCGAGCAATGAATCCTGTAAATCTTATGAAATATAACATATGTTCTTTTTTCAGATATCCATTCAATTAATACTTCATATCTTTGACTAACTTTAAATATTGGTAAGACTAAAAAAAAAAAATATAAAAAAAAAAAAGAAAAAAAGAAAAAAAAATGTGTAAAATTTGAATTGTAAAAAAGATGACACGTTCATAATTAATCAGATACTTACTAATAGAGGACATGATTCGCATTATGTCTCTCATAGCGTACAATTTTACAAAGCCCACGCAGAATAGAGTCTCTGCATGGACGTAATGCTTCGAGTCCCAGAAGTCCATAATATATGATCTGCAAGTCCTATGACAAAAGAAAGTATAACGTTAAAGAGATGCAATAAAATATTTTCCGTGAAAATGAACGCGATTGTGTTTCACTTTGTTATCCAATTCTCACAACTTCGTTATAAAATTTTCTCTTAAAAACAAAAAAAAAGAAAAAAGAAAAAGAGAGAAATTCAAGACACGTTTGTTCATTATACTTTCGTTAATCGTTCTTTTTTTTCTATATCTCTTCTTCTTAATTTTTTTTTTTTTTTTTTTTTTTTTTTTTTTTTTTTTTTTTTTTTTTTTTTTTAATGCAATATCAATACATTATACATGCTTTAAGTTAATATCATAGTAATTCAGTTAAATGTACTAGTTCAGTATATATTCTGTACTAATGTCTGCTTCTAGGCAAGAACATCGATTAGGAGAACTCGAGGAGAATATTGTTAGATCCTTGCTAAACTTAAGAAATACCTCTCCCGCAGAGATTACCGTAGCTTAGGCTTCCTAAGTTTATGTACCATGGAATATTCAACTATAAGACCGTTCGAAATTAGACACATTTGGTACAATAATAATCTGAATAGAGAAATTCCCTTTCTTTTCTAATGAACGTTATAACATGTATATCAAGTAATCAATTTTCAATTAAAATAAATTAATAAATAGATTAAAAAAGATGTCGAATTTTTCATTGATACATATCGTCAATAATCCTCTATATGTTTTATCGATCAAATCATAATAGACATGGATAATATCGCGTGCGAAAAATATCGATCAATTATTCTACGACATCTCGATCGTTCTAACAAGCATTATTTATGACTTGATAATTTCGTGCTCGTTTCTTAATCAAACTTACAATTAACAAGCCATTTCGATGCACTTCGAGAATGAGTTCGCCGTTGTTTCGGTCTGTTGGCTCGATTAGATCGCTATCATAACGATGTAAAAAATACTATTAGGCATTAAAATGATTCAAAAAAAAAAAAAAAAAAGAAAAAAAAAATAAAGAAAGAAAGAAGAAAAAAAGAAAAAAAACATAAAGCATAATTTTTTAATTAACGATAGGATTACATGTAAAAGGGGTGAAGAGAAAAAAAAAGGAGTGTACGATCTTCCCAATGATCCATCAATGATACGTACTTACACGCACGGTGAGTAAATCAAACTTTTTCCATTTACGACAGCCAAACAACTTTTCACATATACAAAGATACATTATGCAAGAGAGGATATTGCAAAATAAAAATTTGGAACGAACGAGGGCGCGGACCGTGAAAGACAGAAAATAAGACCATAAATATGCGAGCGTACATACATATGCGTAAGTTCTCTTCTCTCTCTCTCTCTCTCTCTCTCTCTCTCTCTCTCTCTCTCTCTCTCTCTTTTTTTTTTCGAAAGAGGCGCCGTACCGTCTACGAATCGTTCAGAACTAACCTCCTCTTTTTCTTACCAAGAAAAGGGTAGGTTCGTCTGCGTCTTCGTCCTCGAAAGTACCATCTTTTCTATCTTCTCTTATATATATATTTTTTTATTATTTCTTTCTCTTTTCTCGTTTTATTTTTGCACGAAAACTGGAGCGAACACCGGACGACCTTCGCCTTACGGATCGCATGAACAGACTACGCAAGATCACTTTTTCTGAGATTTTCGATGAAGTCTTCTCGATACTTTTGAATATATTAGATCTCGAAAGATCAATTCGATTGATTTTACGACGATAAAATTCGCACGATCATATTCAGAATACATATATATATATACATATTTCAAATGTTTCATCGTTTGTATTTATTTTTCTTACGACCTTTACAGAGAATTCCGAGATGTAAAAACGTGTAAATGATAATGCACGCTTTGTAAACATTACGTAGAAATGTAATAACGAGCTTTTATGAATTATCGTTCTTTTCCGGTAGATATGTATCTTCGAAGTCAAAACAGTAACCGTACATTGTTTACAATCATTTTTGATAACTCTATATTTTACTTATATATATATATATATATATATATATATATATATATATATATATATCCGAAGTATTTATAAAATAATCAACAAACAATGACTACTTTCATAGCGATATTAAATCGTACTTATATTTCATTCAAAGAAAGAAAGAAAAGAAATGAGAAAGAAAGAAAAAAGAAAGATCGTTAAATTACTCTAGATTTTACTGGAAACCATTAAAATTCTACTGAGAGAATACTTTAACTCATAAATTACGTTATAACGACTGTTGATTTTAGTGATGAAGGTCGCACACCAAGATGAATAAGAATACTATACATATATATATAGTAATATGTACAATGTTCCTTATCAAGGCTCTGTTATCATTTACACGTTTTATATTTTTGATTAGGTAGAGAGGATCCTTGTTAAAGATGAAAAGAAATGTCTCTCAAGAGAATGTTACTATCATGGTTCGTGAGATAGTGCCACTCAACCTCGGTATTCTTCTCGATCGCTCATTGGTAACGCGTGGGCGAGTCGTCCGAGCGAACTACCTTTAAGTACCTACATCGTTAAGGTCGTTTCGTATCTTCGTTTGAGAGAGAAAAAGAAAAGAAAAGAAAAGAGAAGAAAGAAAAAAAAAATAGAAAAGAAAAAAGAAAGAAAAAAAAGAAGGAAACAAAAAGAAAAATGGAAATACATCGAACATAATTATGGCGAACGTATTGACCGTATACATGAACGAGGAATAATCGACTGAGATTTCATTTAAACGATTCTCACGTTTGCTTCTGAATTCAACGAGAACATCGGAAAATACATTCGTACAATGGATCAGGTATTATAATTTAATGATCGAACATGATAAAATAAATGTAATTTTATAAGATAAGTCAATGTGGATTCCCACGAGTTTGCGTGCATCGTAATCGTTGAATCTGTCGTTCTCGTATAAACGAAGATACTACAAATCGACAATTTCCTCGTTCTAGTCGAGAGAGAGAGAGAGAGAGAACCTTTAATCATGCATCCTCGAGTAAGGGGAAAGATCTCTCGGCTAGACTTGGATTAATGTTTATCAAGTGGTCCTCTCAATTGACAGACGTAACACGCGTTGGAAGAAAAATGGATGGACGGTCGACTACTTCCTGTATATTTTACCTTTCCTATGATTATGCATACATATCTATAAGTAAAAAGTTATCCGTTACAAGGAAATTCTACTTCGATCGATTTAACCTACACTCATCGAAGTGACCCTGTACCTTCGTCGTTCGTGCTAATGTTAGACATTATTATGTCGAGTCCTTGAAATTTATTTAACAATAGTTTCGTACATCTAAATACATATAAAAAGAAATAATCCTTTAGAGGATAATGCTAATCGTATCCTTCGAAGGTTATTAATATATAATTTGGGAAGAATTCTTAATTAGATTAAAATTCATGGTATTACATCGTTAAGTATGTTTAAGATAAAATATCGTTTGTCATTAGATTACCTGAAGATTTCGTCTTTCTGGATCGCGGCAAAGTGCCCGGATGAAATGTGGATCCAAGTATTCCGTCATAATAGCCCACGTAAGACTATTTATCGTGCCTTTCTCTAGCAACTCTCTCAATGAAGGAACTCTTTTCGAACATCGCCACCGCTGATAGTCGACAATGTTCGTAAGGTTTAGTCCTCCTTAACGATAATACGGCTCCTCTACTGCCATTCGTAAAATTTTCCGCTACTTATCCATCCTTGCTGACTGACCTCTCTCGTTTCTATCTCTTGATTGTTATCAAGCGTAACAAGACTATCTCGTTTTAATATGAAACACGTGATAAACGAGTTTTATTCGAATTCGAAATTGAGCGAGACATCTTTGATGAAAGATTGTTTTTTTGTCCTCTTGACGCTTTTTTCTTGCGTTTATTTTTTATTTTTTACTTCTTTTTTTTTTGTTTTGTTTTTTTCTTTTCTTTTTTCTTTTTTTTTTTTTTTTTATTTCTTTTCTCACTTGAAAATCTCCGATCGTATTTAGGCAGTTCCAAATCTGAAACACAAAATAAAATGCATGCCGATGAAATAAGGGTTCGTTGATTTTTTTTTTTTTTTTCGTCGAAATTCAAGAGTCAGATAAATCGATCGTCTTATGCAAAAATAAATGAAACCGAATGAGAGATTTATGAATGATAAATGAATATTGAGGAACATCGACGAGGGAGTGTCGTATGTATATAACACCTGCTTCGGTTGCATACAGAAGAAGGTTATCAAGTGAACTATTGGAGCTAAACGAGATAACGTTTCTCTTTCGTATTTTCGTGCATTGAATCGTATATCGTTATAGGTAATTATCTTTTACAAGTATTATAGAAATAAAAATTGGAGAAAAGGAGGATTAAGAAAACGTTTACTTTCAATGTCTATTTCCAGTATCAAAAGATATCGAAATCGCACCAGCTTTGGAGAAGAAGAAGAAGTCGAGAGTTCAAAGCATTCAACACAAAGACTCACTGTTCTCCTTGTTTCTTCTTCGAACAAACGTTTACCGTTTTACTCGACCTATCACAATGCAAAGAAATCCTTCCAAGATTAAAACTCGTTTTTTATATACATATAAGCTAAGAATATTTTTAAGATTTATCCTAATTCTAAATTCCATTAAAAATTCACGTATTATAGCTTTAAAACACTCGATAGAAGAACCGACCTGCGACTTCTCGGTTCATCATCCGACCTTGGATAAGTAACGTCACGCGAGCCACATACCTAACTACCTTGGAAGCGGCAAGTCGAGGTCATACGCGTACTCTGGTACCCGTTGGTACATACAACCGACCATCCATGAAAGAAGAGACGAACCGAACTAGAGACTCTAGATGCGCAGAGAAAGGATGTCTTGCTTCGTCTCGCCGATTGCTTCTCACTGTGTAACTTCGATTTGTCATTCGAGGAAGCACCCATCGATTTATGTAAGAGACAACCATCATGCAAACTGAATCGATTACGATAAATATATATACACTGTATGTAAATATATATATATATACATATATATATATATATATATATATATATATATATATTTATTGACTTTCCAATTATCAAAAAAACTATCTATATAAATAAATTCAAATAAATAAAGAAATATAATTTATTAATTATAATTGATAAATTATATTAATTAATGAATTAATTTATTTATTAACAGAATTTTAATGGGAAGTCATTATATAATTTCTAATTTTAAAGATTTAATTAGATTAATTCAATTGAATTAAGATTAATTAAATATCAAAAGATACGAAGTGTCTTCCATTAAAATGTATATCATTTTTCACATAGGAACTTCTAGTCATTGCAACTCATCGCTTGATGACAACTCGCTCGGGACATTATCGTATTATATGCACATTCTCGGTAACGGTTCGTATTATGCAGCTCGAAACTTCTCCAACCTATTATACGAAGAGATTATAATCGAGTCGACGCTTTGTATCTCTAAATGTATTGCGCGTACGCTTCTCGTTGAATAATACGAACTACGGAATCGTTAATGTTTAAAGTCGCACGAGAATCGTCCATAAGAATGTATAAGGCAAAGTAAAACCTGTAATATAATTTCGTCGGAGGAGTTATAACGCTTAATTTAACGGCAAAGTAATTCTTATCGACTTGAGGAATGATGACGTACTGCTTGAATTTTTTATCGTACTAATTTCAAACTAGAGGATAAGGTCGGGTCAGAACTCCCCTATCGTATCAAAAGTAACACGCGTGTTATCTTTAATATTTAAGATCTCGTTATTGTGTCTTTCATAATATACATTAATGTAATACGACGTAAATACATAAATATAAGAAATATATTACCTTCGAGATTTCTATCTTATTTAAATCGTTAAACATCGTAAATAATATTTGTATAAATGTTCATAAAATGATAATATGTTTTAATAATGAACCGAATAGAATCAATTTCAAATACAAAAAGTGATATTAAGAAGAGAGAAAAATTGAAAAAAGAAAAGAGAAAAGCAAAAGAGAGAGAAAGAGAGAGAGAAAGAAAAAGAAGAAACCACGACGGATTTTCTTTATTTTTAAATTTCTGTATTCCTTGCATTTAAGTCTCCGTCATGTCGTCGGTAAATTCTCAACGATCGATTCGAACAATTCCAACTCTGGATGGATGCATTCTCGTTGATATGTAGTAATCCATGATGGATCATATTGTTCAAGAGAAAATACGAACTCCGTGGATACTGTCTCGGGAAAAACGCAGACGAAGTATAGAAACTGATAATAAGTCGTAGCCGAAATGACTTTTCCGAACAAAGCTCTCGACGGGACACGAACGCTTTTTAATCTTCGACCTTTTCCTTCGAGCTTCGTATTCACGACCCTGAAACATTGTCTGCTGTCATATAAAAAAAAAAAGAAAGAAAGATTGAAGACTTCAATATCGAATATTACGTATCGCGATGAAGTCACAAACTCGATAAATTGAATACCATCAATCTAGAACTTATCAATTCTTCTTCTTTTTTTATTTATTTTTTCTTTTATATATATATATATATATATATATATATATATATATATATATATACGTTTCTTTTTTAGCTTTTCTTGTTCAATATATTTTTAATTTTAAACAATGAAATAACTTAGAGTTAATTAATTTCGTATTAAAAAGCATTTCTCGGATACGCGTTGGCAAGCATTAAGATAATTTCGAATAAATCTAGCTCTAATAATATCTATTAATTACTAATTGCTCGGATAATATCTATGCGAACGAAACATCAAAAAGTCCTTAGATTATTGTAGGCAAACTTATATTTGATAAATATTATTAAATAAATTTTTTCGCTTTGAATTTAACATTGAAAACATGAAATGCATAAGAATAATTTATATATTTTTCTTTTACTCGATGTAGTACATACGTATAACCAGGTACAGTGTAGTCATGTAACTACGACTTTATTGATCTCAGTCGTTCCGTCTCGTGTACGTTTCCACCACTTTTCAAGCAATGACATTGTCGATGAATAAAGTAAACTACAATCGATGTACACGCTAAGCAATTAGCTTCTTATCGAAACTACGCGATACAATTTGTCGCAAAAGTTGTTTTGAAAAACTAACAAAAAAAAGAACACGTGTATACCCGGAAGCAACACAATCAAGTAAATTGCATCCATATTCAGAAAGGCTCTAACACTTATTTTTTCTTTTTTTTTTTTCTTTTTTTTTAATATCTTTACATCCCAACATATTTCTTTCTAAAGTAATAATTACTAAGCTAAACGAGACTAGTTTTAATGTTTCGAATAAATTTTTTTTCTCAATCGATCAAAAGTTCTACATCACTTTACGACTCTAACAACTCCTCTTCTTCCATCTTCCATCCTTTCGTATAATAACCGCTAAAAGTTTTACGTTTTTGCGCGAACGTCATCAAAAAGTTTTCTAATTTTTTTCCTTTTCCTTTTTCTTCTTTTTTTTTTTTTACGAACTTCATTACGATTCAACGACATTAATAATATCCGAATATTGCTAAGTATTGCGGAGGAAATAAACTAAAAAGATAATTGAAAAAAAAAAAAATTTATTAAAAATTGTTAGCAGAAAATACATTACTTGTTATTAGTTCCATTTAACTGAACAATTGAAAACTTGTGGCGCGTACTCACACAACCGGAAAAGACATTTCAAAATAGAAATTAGGGAACAAGAAGAAGAAGAAGAAGAAGAAGATAAAGAAAGAAGAGAGAAAGAAGAAAAAGAAAAAGTTAGAGCGATGAGAAGAGAAACGACTCCACCACTGTCGACCTTGCGGATCGTTTCAGTATGGGAGTCCTCCTTATTTTTTCTTTCTTATCTCTTTTTCATTTCTCTCTTTCTACATCCTATCCTTCGTCCTTCTCTAACCCATCGTGTTCGCACAACATGCGTTCAGCTCTATCTACCTCTGAGAAGAAACTTGCTGAACCGGCGTCTCCTTCGGAACTCGTCTACATACCGTCTACGTATGCGTACTTCTGTTTATGTATGCGTACACACGTTTGTATACACATATACGCATAAGTATAAATATGTATTTGGTATATCCTACATACCAACATTTGTAAATGTAATCTCGCGCGGACACGGAATGTCTCGACAGAAAATGCACGCATGTCGAACAAACGTAAAGCGTATCGGCTTACTAATCGCTGTCCGTCCTCCCCGATAAACGATCTCTGAGCCCACTGTTGATAATAAAGACATCACCCGTGGTGATATGAGTCGTCCAAACTTTCCGATCGATTTACGCGTTTCCGGACTCAAGCTTCTCTCCTTTCCCTTTCTCGAAACAGTATTGTACAGAGTTTACACGTAAATCTGCCATTTCTATCGATTTATAGCCTTCTACGTCACGATCGTATCGATCTGGAAAAGATTAATGACGCATTCTAGATGAACGCGCGTGTATGTCTTCGTACATATATATATATATATATATATGTGTGTGTGTGTATGTGTAAAAGAAACGGATTCTGCACGCGTCTTGACTGAACCAACGATTTACACCGATTCCAGACCATGCTTGACTCTTTTCATGACAGACAAAAAATTCTACCAACGTCTGGAGATCGTCATCGTTGATGATCGAACTACAGTGCCTGCGTAAACCGACTTTCATAGTCTGCTTTGAAATTATCTCAAATGCCACGCGATGGATCTCTTCGTGATCGAAGAACCGTTCGAGCTATATAACACACTGTAATTTCTTCTCGTTCTTTTATTTATTATAATTTAATACGTTTACAATACGGTATACCAATGTTTGTTCCGTAATTTATGTCTCGCGTACGGAGTTCGTTATTACCGTAAAACGCTTAACTCAAATGTGACTCACAAAGGAGAAAATGTGAGTCATGTTTCTTGGTTGAAAATGAATTAAAGAAGAAAAAAGAAACGAATTTTGAATAAAACTGAAAAATGTCTCGTGAATATAGAGATTTCTTTTGCTCTCTCTCCCTCTCTCTCTTTCTTACTTTT